TTACTTTTGTTAAAAAAATAAATAATTGGTTATATATTTTATTATAATATTTGCAATTTTTATATGTTTTGGTTATTCTATTTATATTATATATTTATTTTTTCTATTTGGTCCCCACTGATTTACGTATGAGTGAAATTGATTGTCTGTGTTGAGTCCATTGAAGAGCCATGAACACTGAAGCATTTGTTGGAGCTCCTGGCTTTAAAAAAGCTAGGATCCAATCCGCTAATTGCTATTGGCTATTGTCATGTTAACTGCCTATCTCTAAAATCAATCCAACCTCAATGGTTACTGACAAAATTAGAACAGTTACATAAACCTGGGCTGTCCGCCCTCATGTCGGAACAAATTTGTGCTTGAATGATGCGGGCGAAGAAATGTTGACATTTTTTTGCCAATCAACCATCAAAGACCAGGCCTGTTTGGCTCTTGTGTGCTATCTTTGTCCTGTAAAGCTTTATGGAACTATTGACACACAAAAAAACACTTATGAATTTATTTGAAACGATATAAAATACAGTAAAAACAGTATATTTTGAAATGAATATATTCTTAAATAAATTGTTCATATCATATACCAGCCCGTTCTCATCCTTTAACGTCATATAGAACGCTATATGCAAAAACGGCGCTATACTACTACGCACATGGCACCCTTTATCGTTAATATAACACGCGAACCCAAGACGTTATAAATCCTTTAGCGTGAATATGACACGCACACCCTACCCCACACCTAAACTTAGCCCTCACAGCGCGTGTTATATTAACGATAACGGGTGCCATGTGCGTAGTATAGCGCCGTTTTGTCATATAGCGTTCTATATGACGTTAAAGGATGAGAATGCGTTGCATATACATATACATTTCTTTAAGGGTTAAACATTTGTAATGAGAAAACAATTACTGAACACACTTTTAAATTAACTTGAGCTTCCTTACAAATGCATTTCTTTATTCTCTTTACTTAACTAGTATCATAAAATACAATAGCTCATATTTCAGTAGGATAGACATGTTTTATGGGAATATGTGAATCCTTATCTTCGAAGTGTTTAAATGGATGCACAATGTTTTATGGGAATATGTGAATCCTTATCTTCGAAGTGTTTAAATGGATGCACAATGTTTTATGGGAATATGTGAATCCTTATCTTCGAAGTGTTTAAATGGATGCACAACTGATGTGTGTTGATCTATTCTACACTAAGGCTTCTGTATTCCTCAATATTACCACATATTGACCTCATCGAGAGGTCATTTTATGCTCTGGAACCCACATTTCTCTCCGCAAACCTTTCCTGCTCCACTTCTCTCATTAAAGATATCTGTTAGATATTGGCTGTACACATCCTCTAAGTCTCAGTCACTCACCCTTTGAAGCCATGCTACATGTGAAGGAGGAATAAGGCTTTGATAACAATGGCTCTACACATTCTTACACGAGCTAGAGTGGACTATATTCTCAGGTGAATAGTACACTGATGTAAGACTCCTCTATGGCTCATTAACTGCAATCTGAGGAAGGCACATATCTCAGAGAGATCATGAACCACGCTCTGATACGTTTGAAGAGGTTGAAGTCTTTGTATTGCAGCATTATTTATCAGTGCAATCTACCAGATGCTAGAATTATGGAGCGTAAAAAGTACAGAGAAATATATTTAAGTTACCATGTCAAAATTTTACTAAACTCAAGTGTCAAGCCAGCTTTGTGAGGTTTTTCTCTTTTTATATACATAGCAATTCTGAATTTATAACTCGCAATTGTAAGTTTATCTAAATAAGCTTATTTTCTTGCAATTGCAAGGGGAAAAAATCTGAATTGCCCCAATCATCCCCTTAATTGTGAGGGGGGAAATCTGAATTGTGCATGAGATAAAAAGTCACAATTGCCTTTTTTATCCTTTATTCCGTTGGCGGAAACAAACTTCCATAATAAAATTCATAAATGCTTCCAAAAGAACCAGTCTGTTAGTGTATTGGACTGTGCAAGGATCACACCAGATGGTAAACTGAAGGGTCTCTCCTGGAGCCTGTTAAACTTTAAATTCACTAGCATCTGATTTTATAGTTGTTTGACTTTAGGTGTGGCGTGCAGGTAGTATATAGACTGAACACCAGCCATGTGTCAAGTTAGTTTGTCTTCAATGATGGTTAGAATTAAAAACCATTTAGGTAAATGTTGTGATAACTGTTGCAATCCGTTCAAAAGATTAATGACCATAGCTGAGGCATGTTACATAGAGATCTTTATTATATTTAGTCATGCTAAGTTGAAAATTTCTCTTTTTTTTAGGGCTAAATGGAATTATAAGGAATTAGTAAAAATATTTTCTTTACGTCCCTGCCGGCGCATCGGTGTCTTTGTGGACCACAAAGGAGTCGTTTCATTCGTGGGATTGACTTGACCATGCAGTCACCAGGCTTGACTGGGTCTTTTTCTGTATTGTTAGTTCTTGTCTTTATTTTGCTCTGACACGCTGAGAAAAAAGGATTTATCAGGCATGACAATCAGATTACTTTCTCGGAACATTCCAGCATGATTTCAGGTTCCAGCTAGTTTGTTCTGTAACACACATGAAGAGGAATACTCTGGTGTCCTACATACACTCTACATGTTTGATGTGAGATAAGCAAATCACTTCACATATTTGATCATCAGCAAACCAGTAATAGTGCAGATTTGACCATCTTGAAACTATGCAGTCAATGCACTTATTCACTTGACTGACATGGCTGGCATGTCAAACATGACCCCCATTCAGTGTATTTAATGTTTCTACATGTTTGAATCGTCCTTTGACACTGAATGCCCTCAGCCAGATTCCAGTGACTGTCCTGGCTGACATGTACTAGGGTCTCAACGTTTAACCTTTAAAATGGCATTACAAAATCTCCACCCTCTCTATGTGTAGTTTTTTTTCCTCTCTGCAGTACGGAGCACAAAACAAACTATCTGCGCTGGGGCAAGTCTCTGCAATCACTGCGATTCAGATATCATCATTGGGTCTCATTCATGAAACATTCGTAAAGATACGAGTAAATATAAGAATGATTTGCGCGTAAAGAGACCTTTCCGAAAACTCCAATCAGTCGTAAATGGACGCGCGTGCACGCTATAACTATACATGGGCATCATATTATGATACCAAACGAAGGATTTCAACATGTCTTCTCAAAAGCGAATGAAACAAAAAATTCTCAGATGCAGAAATCGAAGTTTTATTATCAGAAGTTCATTCAAAACACCACATTTTATTTTTAAGTGTAGGCTACATAGTGGTAGCCTGGCTGCGCCCTCCTACGCACTTCCGCTCAATTTCATTTTGGAAATGAAATGAACTAGAGTCTGGTTGAACCAGGCTAACATAGTGGCATATCAGGTCCTAAAAAAAAGGAAGTTTGCAGCATATTAAAGATGCAGTTAATGGAGTTTCATCTGTTAATCAAACAGAAGTAAAAATCAAAACCGTATGTAATTACTATATATAACATTTTTACAAAATGTGTAATTATATGCATCCAATATTAATGAGCAAAATGTTTGAATGTTGAACTCACTATTTACGTATAGCTGGGAGCAGGTGTAGATTTCTTTCGTACCAACTAACATTTGGAAAATACTAATTTTAATTCATTTTAATGAATCCGAAAATTTACGCCAGAACCACTTTACCGACGATTTGGACAAAAATTTGTTCTGCTCGTGTTTCATGATGAATGAGACCCATTTGTGTGTATGCTCATACTGAGGTGCTCGGCACATCGCTAGTGTTGTTTCCACCTTAACTTCCACCTCACAATTTCCACCTAAACTGGATGCTTTCTTTTGTCCCTGTGGCATGAAAGAACACCAGGGACACAAAACTCAACAACTTTAATTCTCAAGGCACTCTGATGACTCAGAAAATGTATAATATACCCATACTATTTATTTGTGAGAGCCTTAAATTAGACTTCAAAATAGAATAGAGTGAATACAATGGACGAATAGGATGGAGACCTGTTAGTTCTAAAAGTCAATAAAGAAACAGGTCGTAAAGTGAATATATGGGGTGTCTACCTTGCCAAAAATCCCTATGAGACTTTGTCCCCCCAGATGATACCGATAAACCAAATTTGTGGCCCTGGCTCATGGACTATGAAACGAGAGAGCCGGTCCGTGGTACATGACATCATTAAATAACTACAAACCAAAGCCTACGTCCACACTACTGCGTTTTCGGAGAATTAAAATGAATACGATCTCCGTCCACACCAGCGTTTTATCTGCGTATTAAAATTGATCTCCATCCACATTAAAATGACTGAAAACGTGGATAACGTGACCATTCACCAACACTGGGCATGCGTGTAAACGTTTCAAAATGAGAGATTCAAAATGCAGCGTTTCTAAACTCCTCCGTTTTAGGTCTTCGTTTTTTTCCGTTTTAGTCTGGGCGGGAGGTGCAAACGTAGTAAAAGGTCTCCGTTTTTAAACGAAAACGCAGTAGTGTGGACGGGGCCTAAATACATTCAGCAAGAGGGGAAGGAACCAGTCTGAAAACATTTTTCTCCCCCCAGCATCACCTTTCAGTTTCATTGTACAACCGTGTATATGTATGTGTGTGTAAGGGCTCTGAATGTTGATGTGCATGTTGTTAAGGGACAGCTTTTAACAGTTCACCTGAGGCTGCTGTCATATTTACCTACACAAACGTTCTGCCCTGACACTCCCTACACTTAGACTTATATTCAGCCATCTCAGGAATGGAGCATAGAGCAGCTTGAGCAGTAAATGCGTCCCAGTGCCGTATGTTATTGTTGTAAATGTCTACAGAAAGGTCAGGCCCTCAAGGTCCCATAGATCAGTTATCAGCTTACTGTCTAACAGGGGTGTCGACCCTTTCACACCACCCCTTTAAACAGCCTGGCAATTTATAAAACAGTTTAAACACAGCATACAAAAAATGTGAAATATGGTCTAATAGTTTCCCCCCCCTTCATCACTCCAGAGATCTGAAGCTGGATAACATTCTTTTGGACGCTGAAGGCCACTGTAAACTGGCTGACTTTGGCATGTGTAAAGAGGGCATTTTGAACGGGGTCACGACCACCACTTTCTGCGGGACCCCTGACTACATCGCACCTGAGGTAAAACTACAAATCATAATTGACAAAACCAGCAGCTGAGGTGTTTGAAAAATTATTTTTAACCTCATTCTTCCATTCTTCTTGTTCAGATCCTCCAGGAGTTGGAGTACGGCCCATCGGTAGATTGGTGGGCTCTGGGTGTCCTCATGTACGAAATGATGGCCGGTCAGCCTCCGTTTGAAGCTGACAATGAGGACGACCTTTTTGAGTCCATCCTCCACGATGACGTGCTTTACCCCGTGTGGCTCAGTAAAGAAGCCGTCAGCATTCTGAAATCTGTAAGCGGACAATTTCTTGAAATCTTTTCTTGTTTGTGTATGTGGTTTGTGGTTGGCCCATTTATCATTTCTTTTTCAACATCTGTTCAGAATCTTTTCTCTTCCTGCAGTGCATTGAGCTCCTCTATATGATCATGCACCTGGCTGCAATTTCCCTCAGACCTCTCCAACCTTCCTCTGTTCATTTCACTCCCTTGTGTTCCTCATTCATCCCTCTGTTCTGGTACATTTACCTCTGACTTACAAATACACTAATTTTGTAGCGTATAAAATCTTTGACAGGATATTGTGGTTTCTTTCCTTGTGTCTAATTTTTGTGCACTAAAAATGCATGAATTGTCAGAAAAGACAGGCAATCGTTTGGCTATTGTTTAGAAACAGAACTTGAAAGGTGTTGTAAGCTGTTTTAGCCGCTTTACTAATTTCCACCAGACTGATTTAGACCATTCAATGCCAAACCACATGGCCTCTCAGCAAAACCCGCCCTCCAAAGACATGTCCTCCAATCAGTTGTCAGCAAACATACAAATGATTGACAGCCAGAGAAATGAGTAATGCTTTATATAAGGTTGATACATAGGTATCATGAACTAATAATAAACAACCAACATTTTGTGTGTGTGTGTGTGTGTGTGTGTGTGTGTGTGTGTGTATGTATATATATATATATATATATATATATATATAGGCCTACTGTTGCTCAAAGTTTATGTTCATTATACACTTTATTGCACACATTATTATATAACATAATTAATAAACTATAAAAAAACAATACATATGTGTGTGTGTGTGTGTGTGTATATATATATATATATATATATCATTTTATATTTATTCGTATGTGTTCATTTTTATTTTAATATAGTAATATATATTGTTTAAATGTGGTAGTTAAATATGATATACTGTTAAAATGTATTAGTATGTTTAAAAATGTTTTAAAATGAATAAATATTATGAAAAAAATCTTCTTTGGAAAAATATTATATGAAATTCTGAAATGTTATTTGCACCTTATTATAAAGCATTACTTTTTTGTATTTTGCTAAAAAAAAAAAAAGGTTTCCTTTTTTATTTTTACATTTTTGCTGTTAGAAAGACAATTGTGATTTCTTCAGGACTTTTTTTATTTCAGTGATGTCTGCCTTGCATTGCATGTGTTGAATTTCACAAAAATTGCTTTATAGCTCCTTACACACACTGTTCATATTTACCACTTCTTTGTGAATTATGTAAAATGACATTTATTCCCACTCTTCAGTTCATGACAAAGAACCCGGGTAAGCGCCTAGGCTGTGTGGTGACCCAGGGCCTGGAGGAAGCCATCAAAGTCCATCCCTTCTTCAGAGAGATCGATTGGGTCCTGCTGGAGCAGAGGAGGGTCAAACCCCCCTTTAAACCTCGCATTGTAAGTGTACATGCTTTCTCATACATTGAACTCAATCCTGTAAGCTCACCCATTTCTATAGAGCATGACACTTGCAGTGGCAAGCTTGTGGGTTCGATTCCCAGGGAAAGCAAGGACTGATAGAAATGCACTGTACTTTAAATATCTCAATGCACTCAATGCATTACCTACTCAATTTCTGTTAAATTTAAATATAAATCACAAAATACTTTTAATGACACAGCGTCACAACACGCCTTTTTTTCTGCTAAATGCTCCGATACGGCATGTGCACATTGACTTATCTCTCATGTTCCTCTGTCTTTACTGTCTGTGGTCTAGACTGAAAGTCGGATGCCACAACGGCACTTCTTGACTTCTGCTTTCCCATGGCGGGGGGAAGGGCTGATGGTGTTTGTGTGTATGTGCGTATGTGTATATGTACACAAGTGGTGCTTCAGATTGAAAGGTCACAGAAAGGTTGAGAGTTTACTTGCCCGCCAGTTGCTCTCTTGCCCTCTGAGTAACTTTGAGCCGGTGTTCTGTCACCACTACGGCTTACCAGCAACTCTCTACATTTACATACACACCTGTGGCTTTTAACTGAAAGTCTAGACAATTTTTTTAGAACAGCATCTTGGTCAAAATATGATCCTTAAACAGTTAGTTTGCCCAAAAATGACATTTCTGTCATCAAGTACTCACCCTCATATTGTTCCAAACCCGTAAGACCTTCATTCATCTTTGGAACACACATGAAGATATATTTTATTTAATAAAATTTCTGAACCACCTATAGGCAGCAACATTATTGCAACTTTTAAGGCCACTCATAAAGCTAGTAAAGACATTGATAAAATAGTCCATGTGACTGAAGTGGTTCAACCTTAACGTTATGAAGCGATGAGAATACTTTTTGTGCGTTAAAAAAATGACTTTTTTCAACAATTTCTTCTTTTCTACATCATTCTTAAACGAAGTTTACATTGTAAATACAGTGCCGCATTTCTGGGTTTTACATCAGAACGCTGGCTCATTATTGGCTGATGCTGTTCAAGTAAGGATCACGTCGCATGTGTGTGATGATGACGCAGGGGCTGGCCAATAATAAGCCGGCATTCTGAGGTACAACCAGTAAACACTTGTTTTTTTATTATTATCATAATAATAAGGGTTTGTTTACTCAAAAACCTCTGTCATCATATACTTATGTCATTCAAAACCCAAAAGACTTTTGTTTATATGAACTTCGAAAAACTAATTGATATTTTTTATAAAATCTGAGAGATTTTGTTTCCTTTGATGCTTGGTTTAATGATGCTTGGATGGTTTAATCCAAGTGTGGTTGAACTTTTTAGAGCCCGACCAATAAAGGATTTTGAAGGCCGATACCGATACAAATATTTTTGGGTTTTAAAATCCGATATTCCGATATATCGGCCGATATGTTATTTATTTATTTATTTTTTTTTTAAACTGGACATGATAGTCACAAATTTTGTCATGCTTATTTGAGTTAAGAGAACTGATGGGGATGTTCTTTTAATTGTTATTCAAGCAATGTATGTATCGTGACCAACTCAACGAGTGTTGCCAACAGGGACGGTGTAGAGTGCCCTCTGGTGGACAAACTATACAACTCCAACACTCATGACATGGTTCAAGCGCGTTTCGTCCATTTTTATTTTATTTTTGAAATATTAATTTATCGGCCATTATAACTGCCGATACCGATAGTTTGGAAAATGCCTAATATCGGCCGATAATATCGGTCTGCCGATATATCGGTCTGGCTCTAGAACTTTTGTTTACAGTATTTGATCTGCTCACTGTATGTTTCGAAGATGAACGTAAGTCTTATGGGTTTTGAATGACATGAGGATGATTAAATGATGACAGAATTAAAAAAAACTTAGTGAGCAATGCCTTTAAAGTTGATCATACGAATATGTATCTATCTCTCTTTTGCTATAGAAAACCAAGCGCGATGTGAATAACTTCGACCAGGACTTCACTCGCGAGGACCCAGTGCTCACACCAGTTGACGATGCAATTATCAAACAAATCAACCAGGATGAATTCAAAGGCTTCTCCTACTTCGGAGAGGAAGCTTTGTCTTAAAGCCCAACTTGAGTCAGCTTAAATAGAAGTTAAACACACCCACAAACACTAAAAAACCCACATCGCATCGCAATACATGAACACACAATCCACAGATGCGCTGAAGATGGGGCTCATACCAGACCAGAGCAGAATGGCCAGTCCCTGTGGTTCACTTCCCCTTTACTGCTGTTTTTGCTCTTTCATTCTTCTCTATATCTCCAAAAAAGAAAAAAAAGTACTGCATATGGATCTCATCCCAGGCCTCAACGAGTCTGACAACCAATCAGAAAACGAATGTTCTCCAGAGCCCAAGAAGAAAGGGTTGGAACGCACTACCTTAAACCAAAATTGACCATACCAATGATTGTACTACCATTTCGGAGACTGGTTGGGTTTTGGTAATGGAACCTTGAAGAAGAATTTACCCTGCATTCGTGACATTGAGACATTCTGTGCTGTGCAGTCAAATGCCTTTTTGTGTATTCAGGTGACATTTTGGGAGCAATTTTATAATATACAAAGACATTTGTAGTATATATATTCAATCACAGTGTTTTCAAGGTTCATTAGGAATGATGACCTGCTGTATATGGGTTGTGTTACGAAGTGTCGGCCTGAGTAGGTGTGTGCATGACATGTATGTGTCCGTGTGCATGTGTTTGCATGAATGAGAGCGAGAGGCCTTTGCTAGCCTGAAGCTCTACAGTACAGGTGTTTTCATGTTGTTTTGCAATTTCTTTTCATTTGTAAAGACTGTGGTGTGCGTGTCTGTGTGTGTGTGTGTGTGTGTGTGTGTGTGTGTGCCATTTCCCACCACTATGCATAAGATAGTATAGTTGTGGGAAGACAGACGTTTTGTACAGAACGTAACATGTACATAGTATTCGCTCCAAAAGCCTGTGAAAGCTTCTTAGAATAGGCAATCGTTTGCATGGTCTTGCAAATTGTGTCGTTATTGAGTAGCATCAGTTTATGGAAAGACAAACATGTTTTTGATATCTATGTGCAATACCCGGAACAGATTTCCCCCCCGTTCTTTTTGAATTTTTCTGTTGTTATTTTTTTTTTTCTCGTGTGTGCTGATTTTCTCGTGTTCCATAGGTTAGAGCTTCACCAAAGGCTTTCTCTCTCTCATGCTACTCTCTGCCATTCTCGTGTACATAGTTTTCTGAATTACATAAGCTGTGGAATGTAGTGGAAAATGTGTGCGCTCTTAATTTATTCAATTTACATGTAGCTACGCTTCCTTTTTGTGTCAACAATTCAATCGTCTTTTTGTGTTACTTTATTCCAGGCGATGAAGCCTTGTTACACACCTCCGTAGATCTTTCAAACTATTCAGTCTCGTTTTAAAATTTTGTGAACCCCCTGTGTTTGAATCATTTACTTGTGCAATGTGAAAGGCTCTAAAGTAGAGGTGAACTAAACGAAAAGGGTACATTTCAGGCGTACTAATTAAAACCTTCTGGAATGTGACGACTTTTGCTTTAGCATTTCAATGGCGATCTAAAGATGTGTTTTATTGTTCTTTTAAAAGTGGTTGCTGATTTTAAATGTTTATTTCCGTTTGCAGTTTCTTTTGTTTCGACATGTTCCATTGCTTTTTTTAACCACGTCTGTGGGTTGATTATGGTAGCTAGGTCAACGTTGCCGATTGTCTTTGAAGCCTTTTCTCTCGCAGGCACTTCCTGTCTGTCGCCCTCACTGTATCATGCCAAATGTCTCGTTCAGTTTTTTTTTTTCTCCCGTCGTTTCCTTTTAAATTGTAAAGGAATTAACTTGATGTATAGGATGCATCCATGGACTGTCTTCAAAGTCAAAACAATAAATAAACTAAGAATTACCTCTTAAAATAAGTGCAAAGATTTCTCTGGCTGAATATTGAATATTTGCGCATACAGTATTAAAATACATAAATGTTTCATATGTATGATAGTTCTGTATTACATGCATCTGGTATTGGACTTTAGTTTCTGTATGGTGAGGCTTCATGTGCACAGAGGTATTTTTTTCCTGGATACACTAGCGTTATTTCATTGTAAGCATTTTACTATGTGCCAAATGTACTGTCATCTAAAGGATGTGAATGTTTAACCTATTAAACCCTGAGATGTATAAAAAAAATATTGTGTTTTGTTGTAATATGTTGAAAGAGTATTATGTGCACACACCCATACAGAGGAAACAGAACATCAAATTGCAAAAGTAAAATATGTAAATATTACTTGTAAATCTAAAACTGTAATAATGTCCTCACAAATAGGCTAAAGTGAAACATTAAAAACTAACTTGTACGGACATTTAAAGTGTTTTATTATTATTTGTTCTTTTTTTCTTGTTATTGAATGATTCACAAATCAGCCAAGTCATGTGTTGCTTTAAATCTGCTGAAACCAACAGGTTTCTCAGAGGGTTTTGAGTTCATTTCTCACCAAAAACAGTCAATGCATGAGGTGTTACCTCGCTAATATGGTGAAACCAACATGCATATGTGTGCATTATTGCAATAGCACCTCAACAGTCATTTAAAGATGAGGCCTGGCAAGCTTAGAGATGCAAAATTTTCAAAATATTTCTATTCTAACTTTTTTTTTTTTTTTTTTTTTTGAGTCTATGACAATCACAAAGTTTTCCATCAACTGCGTGGTTCCTACGTGTTCATAACAGGGTTAAAGTGGATCGATTAGCCTACATGTTTGTTTACATCTAGCCTCTAATCTGTTTTATTAAAAGGGAATGGCTCCAGGAGAGAGTTGTAGGAGTCAAGTTTGATCTAATTTATCCCTTCTCCTGAAAAGGACACTCTAACATTATTTTGTCCATGATGGTCGACGGTTATTGTTTGCTTGTTATCCACGTTTAGCCCTGGTAAACTTTCGCTCATTTTGGATCCCTTTTGGACACTTCACATGGGGTTGGCTTTTTTTCTCATTAATACGCGACTCTGAAACTGAACTTTTTTCACAGCCAAAAGCGCACAGAACTCGCGGAGCGCGCATGACGTGTGGCTGCTGGCTGGGAAGCCAGAGTCTCGGGATCGCGCGCGAGCCGCGAGAGATGGTGCACCAATCAGTTCGCACGATATTGCTGCTAGCACGCGCAACACAGGAGTGGCGCTCACGAGCTCTTTACCAGCGTCCGGTCAGTCAGTGTCACTGGAAAGCTAGTGCGATCCTCGGCAGTGTTCTGAGACTGCACTAACTGCTCCGGTCATTACTGGGAATGTCATGAGAATGGACATTACGAAGGTGAAATAACAAAATAAAGGCATTTGTGAGAATAATACGCGTTTTTCTTCTTTCGGAAAAGTTAAGGAATCCATTATTGCCTAGTTCGCAATACAAGGTCTTCAGCATTGGGGCATCATGACAGCAGAGAGAGAAAGAAAAAGGTAAGTCATAAGAAATCTTTTTTTTTTCTTTTTTTTTCTTCTTTTTTTTTACTGCTTGATTAGTTTTGAATTTACTTTTATTGCTTACCTTAATTTGAGATTCTCATCTGATTTGTAATGCAACTGGCACCAGAGCGAAACAAACCCCTGTTTAAACAAGTCTGTGCCACATATTGAATTAAAGGTTTCTCTTATACAAGTGTTGTATTTGAACTGCTATTTCTGCCCTAAAGTTATATTTGTGACATAATCTTCCCCATCAATTCTAGTTTCTCAAGACTTTGATATTGAGAGGTCAGCGCGGAATGTTTGGCTCGCTCTTGTTAAATGGCTTGAAAAGTTATTAAAATGTCATCACCAAAGTTGCATTGCTACTAAGAAATAACAACGAATGACAAACTATATGCCTACGGGTTAAAAAGATAGATACAAATAATTATGTTGCAATCATGATTGGACATGTAAATACATTCATTAGCTATATAAAACAAATTCATCCATCATCTTTTCTTTAATTTACTCGTTTCATGAATTTCTAGAGCTAAATATTCTTATTTAGTAATTAAATTGGCCAAAAGAGTGCACTGAACTTTAAGAATTAAGGCAGCAATTAAACAAAATTTTACAATATATATTTTTTTAAATATTCCGATTTATGTCAGAATTGTAGCTATTGTGATATTTTCTCTAACCTGAGTAACACAATTGTTAACCGTTTAAAAAAATCTTTATTGTGTTTGTTCTTTTGCAATATATTGAAAAAGCAATCATGCAAAATTTTAAAAGAAAAGGTCAATATGAAGTAGTGCAAACATAATGAAAATGTGTTTTGTCTCTTTAGTCTGTAATTCACAAACTACTTCTGATAATATCTTTGTCTGCTTGATCTTAACTATTACACTAATACATATTTAGCAATAAATAATACCATTATTTATTGCTGTTTTCCAAAAATACATTTGGGATCAAATTCACATGACCTAATTAAATCCCATTTCAACATTCTACTATGATCCCGAGCCCTCTCTTTCATCCTCCGGTCACTCAAATGTCTTTATCCTCCAAGATACAAACCAATATAAGAATGTCCGTCAGGAATGCATGTGTTCCTCAGTGTAAATTGTGACTTGGTGTGATCTGCATGGATGACATTCTAAATTCAGATATTGCAAGATGGTTATATGTTCCTCCGTGTTTCATGCTGGCTTGTTAACAGGAAGTTAATGTTCCAATTGAAACTGAGATTATCAGATCAGATCACCTCTCTTTTTAATACATGGATAGCGCGAACAGGCCACTATTTGTCCCTGCTCTGGTTGCTTCCATCACTTTATTTGATTCATATCTCTTATCTGGTTTGTTTAACTTGCTCTACGAGTTTTCATTAGCACTGTGATTTACTGTTTTGTAATTGGTGCCAGTGGGGCAATGTAATCATTTAACTGTGCTTAATGCCATACATCAAAGCTTGGTTGCACAGAAGCAATTTGCAATATAATGCATACGCAAAAGGATTATTCGGACACCATCATATTGTGTTTAACGCTGATTCTTTCATTGGTTTATTAGCTGGGAAGCTAAAGGTTGACCATCTCTTTGAGGTTTGGGAAAATAGGATTATCTGTAGTGAATGGCTGCTCTGTACAGTCTGGCTTTTGGCTTTCTGTGAACTCTGGCCTAATCTAGTTGTGAGGGGATATGCTGAGAGAGATAAAGGCAGGAATGGGTTCACATCGGCCTGCTAATCACATGATCTGCTCCCTTTGACAGGTTTTGTCTTGGTTGTGCGTGATGGCGCCCGAGGCACTAGGGGATGGTTACAGCTATCTTGCCATAGTGTTTGCTAGGTCATTAGGAATCATGACAGCTCTTAAGATCATTTGCTGAAATACAGACTATTCTCGTGTCAGCTACCTGTTAAGAGGCTGATTGACACTTGAATGTAAAAAACACTGCATGTTGAGAACAGACGGGAGGGACTACATAGCTGTCGGTCTTGTTATTTTGTTCTAGTAATTCCACAAAGCTGAAAGGACTGTAAAAGAGGAGACAAAGAAGTGATAACAGCCAGCAGGCCTCTGTCTTCAGGCTATACCTTGACCTGTTGCGCATCTCTAATACAAAGTTATTTAGCCAGCTAATGTCGAAAGCGTTTGCAGCGTAACTGGGGGTTGAGGTCAGCAGCTGGACTCTGTGGGAACAGAACTCAGTAGCCTTGTAGAGGGCAGAGGACACAACTCCTCTTCACTGGAGAGATTGAATCCAGTCTGAATGAGGCCAAAGGGTTTGTAATAACTACATTTCAGCAGAGAGATAAGACTTCACGCTCAGCTCACATCCAAGGGGTGTGGATCGTTTTACTGAAAAAATAAATTAGGACTCAGAGTTCACACACTAGGTGATGGTTACTGATTTCAGTTGGTTGTGAGAGAAATGTTTCTATATGGTTTCAAACAAAACTACTGGAATATTTAGATATGTTTTTGTTATCGTTTTGTTACATCGATATGCCAGCAAAGGTGGCGACAAGTGACTCTCTTTGTCAGTGAGTTCGGACATTCGTGGTCATTCGGACCACTGATTTATTCAGGAATAAAGCAAATAGGCTAGCTTATGACTCCTGTCTTTATGAGCGAGTCATTGAATCGTTTACTTAAAGCAGTTGTTCGCTTTAAAAAAAAAAAATCCAGATAATTTACGCACCCCCATGTCATCCAAGATGTCCATGTCTTTCTTTCTTCAGTTGAAAAGAAATTAAGAGTTTTTTATGAAAACATTGATTTTCTTCATATAATGAACTTCATTGGGAACCAAACGGTTCAAGGTCCAAATGAGAGTTTCAGTGCAGCTTCAAAGGGCTTTAAACGACACCAGACGATGAATAAGGGTCTTATCTAGCGAAACGATCGGCCATTTCAAAAATAAATAAAAAAGTTTTAAGTTTTATTATAAACACAAATGCTCGCCTTGTTTGTGTTCTGTTCGAACTCGTTCATCAAAATGAACGAATCTTTTTTCGAGTTATTTCGTTCATTTCGTTCGTTGAATTAACCAAATGACTCGTAAAAAGATTTGTTCATTTTGATGAACGAGTTCGAACAGGAGAGTCACGAACGCGCATCACAGAACAGAGCAAGGCAAGCATTTGAGCTTATAAAACTTAAACTTTTTATTTATTTATTAAATGAGCGATCGTCTCGCTAGATAAGACCCTTATTCATCATCTGGCGTCATTTAAAGCTCTTTGAAGCTGCAATGAAACTCTCATTTGGACCTTGAACCGTTTGGTTCCCAATGAAGTCCATTATATGGAGAAAATCCTGGAATGTTTTCATTAAAAACCTTAATTTCTTAAGAAAGACGAGAAATTAAAGAAATTTAATTTTCTTAAAAAAGAAAGAAAGAAAGAAAGAAAGAAAGAAAGAAAGAAAGAAAGAAAGAAAGAAAGACGTGGACATCTTGGATGACATAGGGGTGAGTAAATTATCAGCAAATTTTGTTTTTTAAAGTGAACTAATCCTAAAATACTGATTTCTTCACTATGGTATCTTCTTGCAGATGTGCAGAAGTTTATTCTGTTTTGACTTAAATAACTATTTTCATTGATGTTCATAACAAAAATAGGCAAGGGAACTGGCAACTTGTCTCTTAGTTACTACAAACTTCTAGTTTATTGAACTTGATCTTGCTTGTATGATATCGATTACTATATTATTATAGATTTATTCAGTTATGAAATGTGAATCAAGTGACATTTCTGGCATTGATAGGTGTAACTACTTCTCTGGAAAAAAAAAAATTGGAGTTTCTATTTTAGTTTATATTGTTGTCTGGTGTAACGATCACCAATGAGAGTGGGTTTGTTCTAGTAATTCCACAAAATGTCAAAAGATTGTAAAAGAGTGTATTGGACATATGTGAACACTGTATGATATCTTTATTTAACTATTGTGTCTGTATTTTTAGAGCTGAATCAAAACCCGATGAGGTTTCTTATATGTTTGGAGACAGACGGCAGTAACTGTTTGGGTTGAAATGGAAGTTGCCATTTCTCATTTAGCCCTGAGAAAAAGAAGACAGAAAATCCATGTTAAAGTCCCATTGGTTTGACCACTGAGTAAAAACAATCAGCCATTTATTGTGAGAAGTATCCATAGTAACAATTACAATCATTTTTTTTTGAAAATGGGGGTAGTTAAAGGGCAGAAAGGGGGCATGTTGTGGTTGCCAAATATGCTGCTGTATTACAGAGGGCTGATTATCGCATTCCTGCTCCCCCGCACTGTGTGCACTTCCAGAGCCGGGCTGACCCTGAGCCTGGGAATAGGGGACCCACACTGTGAGGAAGCTACCGGAATTACACCGCTAGATCCTGGTCTCAGCATCGGCCTCCCACAGACATTGAAACTTGGTGCTGCGTACAGGCCACGTGTCGTGTGTTGGTATCTGGGTTAGTGTGTTATTATATGTAACGCATTAGAGAGCACTTGTGGTGTTTCGCCAACAAACAGTGCTGTGGCTTGTTTTTTTTTTGTTTTTTTTTGTTTTTTTGAGGGCACAGTGCACTGTGGCACACCGCACTCAGAGGCCATTGAGAGTTCACTTCTCTATGCCACACTCTCGTTCACACACTGGCAAGCCACAAACCGCAGAAATCTTTCACCTGGCAAGATAAATGTTCATGTTTTGGGTTATACATAATGCTATATGGACTAATTTATAGAAGTATATTCTGCAGTACTTTTTGTCAACTCTTGTCAACTCAAAAGTTTACAAAGTCTACTAAAGATTTATATTTCAAATAAATACAGTTCTTTCAAACTTTATGTTTATCAGTGTTGTACTCGAGACTCGGACTCGTCTCGGACTCGGTCTCGAGACCATATTTTAATGGTCTTAGTCTTGTCATGGACTCGTGTCCATTTGGACTCGGAATTGACTCGTACTCGAACATTTTTTTTTAGGACTCGGACTTATTCCCGAGTCCACTCGAGTTCAATTAAAAATATTTTTCCTGATTATTAATGTATGTTAATAAAATATTTCTTTAAATTGATTGACACGCCCAGTGATTGGTGATTTTCTAGTGCGCAACTGCGCATGACAAATTGTAATAAAATTACTTTTAACACCACCTACTATGTGGCCTTTTTACCCTAAACTGATCATATTTTTTAAACTCTAAGTAAATTCAGTAAAAAAAAAAAATTCTCTAAGTAAATAAAAGTAAATTAGGTAATCAACCCTCACTGGTCTCGGTCTCGACTCGGATTCGACCGTCTCTGGTCTCGGACTCGACTCGGACTCGACTCTCTATGGACTCGGTCTTGACTCGGACTCGACTCTCTCTGGTCTCGGTGTCGACTCGGACTCGAGTGAGGTGGTCTCGACTACAACACTGATGTTTATCAAAGAATCATTATTTTTTTTATCATGGTTTCCACAGAGTATTAAGCAACACCACTGTTTTCAGAATTGATAAAAATTATTAAAAAAAACAAAACAAAAAAACATTTAGCATCAAATCAGCATATTAGAATGATTTCTGAAAGATCATGTGACAGTGACACCGGGGGCATGTTCAAGTTCAAAACGATGCGCAACGTTTTGCTACGGTTTCCTGGAAACGCCGTGCACCGGTGTGCAACAGGGTTTGAGATACGTTTGAGATTGTTTGGTGGGTGTGTCCGAACTGCAGTCCAATCAGCAGCAACATGTAAATAAAGCACGCGGTATTAAAGTGAACTCGCACAATGGGTTCAAGGAAAGTAATTTACAAATGTGTTTGATTCAGCTGGGTATACGCAACAACTAAGGATATTAGAAGACATGTTTGTCCTAAGTTTTATTGTAAAAATATAGGATATCAACTTAATGATGTAGTTGTTTATATTTGTTTATATTTGCTGAAAATACAGATTTGCTACAGCTTTAATATATTAAAGCAGAAAACTGTTTCTTTAAATTGTAAGAATAATTCCCAATATTTCCGTTTTTTACTGTATTTGTGATTAAATAAATGCAGCCTTGGTCTTATCAACGCCAAACCTTTAAACTGTAGTGTACTTGGCTTGATTATACTGTATAACATGCACTAACAAGCTCAAGATAGACATCTGCATGAGCCTGCCTTGTGACCTGACCTGAGCCGGCCTGATTTGACTGGTACTGTATTTAATTGATAGATTTAAGATATATTCTTGAATCTGTAATGACAGTTTTTCCTCTGCAAGTGAGTAAAATAAACCCAGATGCACAGATTCTCACAGGTGTGGTTTTTGCAATGCTTTTTCTTTGACTCAAATAGGACGTCTGTAGTTTCACAAAAAAATTGCTTAAAATAAAAAAAAAATTAATTATAGTTTATTTTTATTAAAATGGACCCAAACTTGTCCCACAATCTGACAGTTTGTCAAACTGGGCTGAGATTAAGAAGCATTTTCTACAATTTTTGTTTGGTCTAAAAGTAATTTTTCATTTTTATAAACATGTATTTTTGCACAGCGAAATTTCACGGGAGAAATCCAATCATTTCAATGTTTATCAGTGCTATCTGGTATTTTACATGAGGGCGGAATCATTTTTACCTCACGGATTTTGTATCGGGTTCAAGTTTGGTGCACACGAATTTGCCATGTTGACCAATAAAAACCTGCTTGGTTTAGAAGTGACCCCTGAATGAGCAGTTACTTAATATTTTGTTAATGGACAATAGATTTGTTTTCTGTTCTTTTCTCACAAAGTTTCACTGTTGTGACTGTGCCAACAAAAAAGACAGTCTTCAACCAAAGTTAAAGTTCTTTGTTTTACTGTCCAGATAAATAATGTATTAAGAATTAACAATAAATTATGTAATGTATAATTAATTTATGTGAGTGTATATCTCTCTAATCACCAATTTAAAAACTTTTGACTGTGCACACTGTATCTGATGAAGCTTGTTGTTTTCATCTGCCTCCTCTGTTTTCCAGGCATCCTTCAGAAAGGCGCAAGGAAAAGTCTCGGGATGCAGCACGCAGCAGACGCAGTAAAGAGACTGAGGTGTTCTATGAGCTGGCCCATCAGCTGCCGTTACCCCATAGCATCAGCTCTCACCTGGACAAAGCCTCCATCATGAGACTAGCTATCAGCTTTCTACGCACACACAAACTCTTCAACTCAGGTAATGAGTTGTTTAACCAAGGAAGTTCTGTATGTTGTCACCTTGGTAGCTGCTTTACATATTGTTGTAAAAAAATGGCTGTATACATTATTTCTAAATTTACAGTAGCTGCTGTTCAAAAGTTTGGGGTCTGTAAGATGTATTTTATGTTTTTGAAAGAAGTTTTTTACCAAAAATAGTCAAATGTTGAAATATTACGACCTCTGAGCCCTCTCCCTGGACAGCACGCCAAATACGCATTAAATCTTATCCACTCTAATTATATGTAAGTGTGAACTTGTGAAACATTATCAATGCTGAAAACAGTTAAGCTGGTTAGTATTTTTGTGAAAACAGTGATAACCCCAAACTTTTGAGCTGTACTCATGTCTGTCCAAACTTGTGTTTGTGTTAGATATTTAGAAATAAAATAATGTTGTTTTATACCAAAAAGAAGTTGTAGTTCTTATAATTAGCTTTTCATAAACACAGTGAAGGTCTGTGGTGTGTCCTCATGTAGACAGCTAAGTAAACATGTTTATATGTCAGTGAAGTTGGGGTGGGTAGGTCTATGATATGTCCTGTACTCCTTAATATATATATATAATGCAGGAAGACAGACAAAGAACACTGCGAATTGTTTCCAGACTCCAGTCCTGACGCACATACATGTGTACAGTATGTGTGCATGTCTCTGAGAGAGAAGGGGACTAAACAATGAAAAGGGAAGAGATGGAATCTGGTGTGTGATGTGGAAGTGGGTGGAGGAAGATTGATGTGTGTGGAGAAACAGGGAAAGAGAGAGATAGCGAGGTGTAGAGTAATTAGGGGCTGCTAGTGGTATTGTTTTCTAGGAACACTGTACAGATTCTTCTCACACTCTTTTCTTAGCCACGATAATCTGTGTTGGCGCCTTGCTGGTCTGCCTGTGACAGTTGACGTGCTGTATATGTCGGTCTGGATGTTCTGTTTTTTTGATACTGTAGGTCACTAGATTATTAAACTAACTGAAAAGTTCATTGTTGAGGTGTATGGGACTCACAAATGCATTGTCATAAAATCATAATATTAGCCTACTTATACAAGTTCAAGAGATTGGACCTGTCCTAAATGGCACACTTCATATGCACTTGCAGTCCTGTGGATGCTGCATGCGTGTGTCCCTTAAGTCCACAAGACTATGTCCCATTTGTGTCCCATTTGTCATTGTAGGTTTCAGAAGGGTGTTTGATGCACACTTTGGCCCTTGCAGCAGACTTATACCTGACAGTCAAAGTGAAACTACGTCAAAAAGTGTGGACTTAGAGGAATATTGTGAGGGCTTTTCTGTTTGGGACAGGGCTGATTATTTTAAATTACCTCTAGGAGTCATTGAGGCATCATATTATATTCTGAATTAATAGTAAAGTCCTTCTGAAGATGTGAATCTTTGAACCCTTGTTAGCAAATGGTCCAGGATAGGTTCGCCTAGGAAGAAGTAAAATGAAATTGGGAGCAAATGGAGACTTGTAATCAAATTTCCAGCTTCTCTTTTGTGTCTTATTTTCAAACGGCTTAGTTTTCAATAGAGAGTTCTGTAATGGACAATTTAACAGTATTAGAATAGTAACAGAAAAGGACTGTCTCTTATAGGGAAGACAATTCACATATGAAACATCTCAATTGTGTCTCCTAGATCGCAATGAGCTCAAATAAAGAGCAAATAAAGACTTTTGTCAAGTCTCCTGCTAATCAGATTTTCTCAAAGACAAAAAAAAAAAATCACAAATTGTTCTCAAATTTGAAGTTCAGGGTTAGAAAACATTTTTTTTTTTTTGAAAGATGTTTATTTTTTTCACCAATGCTGCATTTATTTATTATCAGTGAAAGAGTATTATTGTGAAATATTTTTGAAATTTATTTACTGTAAAATAACTGTTTTCTATTTTAATATATTTTAAAGTGATATTTATCATGTGATGGCAAAGCTGAATTTTCAGCATCATTACACATGATCCTTCAGAAATCATTCCAATATGGTGATTTGCTGCTCAAGAAACATTCCTTATTATTATGATCAATTTTGAAAACCGTTTATGAATGTCTTTACCATCACTTTTGAACACTTAAATACTGTATGTCCTTGCTGATTTTTTTTTTTATTAGTTTAAAAAAAAAAACCTTACTGACCTCAAATTTTGAACTTAAACAAACCTAAATGAAACATACTGTTCTGTAACTTCCTGAGACATGGAGCAATATATCAGAGAACCACAACCAGAGGCCTAAATGATTCTAATAGAGATGGACAGAGGCTAAAAATATTGAGTTCTTGGGTTTGGCTGGCTGAGAGCCAGAGAAGTAAGACCGAAGTATTCAGCACTGTAAGTAATGGTGAAGTATTTATAGCATCAGAACAAATGCAGCGGGGCTTGAGGTGGGAGCGCAGACATGGACCACCTGCTGATACCTAAACACACAATGCGGACACACAGTGCTGATGTCTGAGCAGGGTCAAAGCCTCAGCGCTCAGGACCTCAGTGCCTGATCTGAATTCGCATGGGAGGTCTTATCTGCAGGGAAGCAGACATGAAACTCACAGCATGGAGCCTCGCTTGAATTATTTTCTCAAGTTGTTGATGCTTTTCATGGCATTGTGTACCTCAACATCCCCTCTTTGCTGATCAGCTGAATGGCTCGTTTTTATTCCATGTTACTGTGTGAATTTAATTTGGCTGAATAAGTAAGTAAATAAATAATAAATAAATAAGTCTGTTTAATTGAATTAGGGATGTTTACTTTTTTTGTGACGCAATATGGTACAGGATATGAGTCTTGTGTAGTAGTGTGTGATTGTGCCTTAACATTGGATTTGAGATGGTCACTTCAGTTTGTTTTGATAATTTTCCAGTGTAAATTACAAAAAAAAAGACCCAATTTTACACTGTACAGACTACAGACACACATACTAAGTTGTCTTGTCTTTTGTCCCAGGCCGCACAGTGCAACAAACCCGGTACCAGGATGACAGTCAGTTGGACAGTCTATATCTGAAGTCTCTGGAAGGCTTTGTTGCTGTGGTAACATCAGATGGAGACATGATATTCCTTTCAGAAAACGTCAGTAAATTTATGGGTCTTACGCAGGTGAGTCTCACCTCATTTCCTTCATTCTTTCAGAATAATTACAAAGAGAAAACCTGTAAAAGATTTGTGTTAATTCATTTATAGTGGCTGAACATTTCATTTTACTTCTACTTGCCTCTCAAAATGTTATCAGGTGGAACTGACAGGCCACAGCATCTTTGACTTCACTCACCCCTGCGATCATGAAGAAATCCGAGAGAATCTCAGTGTCAAATCAGGTGAGCATTTTTTTGGATACACTGTTCAATTTCTGAATCTCTTAGTCCTCTTTATCTCTGGGTGTAATTTGCCATGGAGATGTCCGTTTCTGATTGCACTTATCGCAGTCAGGATGTTACATTTTGTAGGCTACATTCCTGTGGTGGCTCGTCTGAAGACAAATCAACTGTTTTTTTGTTTTGTTTTTGTTTGTTTTTTTGTTTTTTTGTACAATCCAGCATGTAGTCTCTTCTGTAAAGACATATACGTATATATATATATATATATATATATATATATATATATATATATATATATATGTATATATATATATGGCTCATATATATATATATATATATATATATATATATATATATATGGCTAAAACATTTGGGGAAAATTGTCATTGTGTATATATATATATATATATATATATATATATATAATTATATATAATTAAATAATACATTATTATTAAATTAAATAATATAAGAACTAATTTACTTTTGTAATATTATTATTTCACTGCCAAATAAAATTATAATAATTTGATTTTACAGTACGACTGTAAACTCAATTTTAATTTGTTCAATTTGTTTAATTCAATTATTTACTTACAGTTTCATTGAAAGTATAATGTTGATGTTTGGCCTTAAAAAATAATATAGACTATTGCCAGGGCACGGATTATTCAGTATCTGTAATTATGTCAGACGATGACAGCAATTCAGCAGACTTGATTTGAGTTTCAGTGCTATAGCTTGTGAATTTTATACTTTCATGTCATTTATTGGCACCAAACTTGGTGTGAACTCTGGCCCAAGTTTCTGTAAATTACCATTTCTGTTGCTACCATGTAAGCAGTGTGTGCTTGCACGCAGACACACACACACTCATAATGACAGTAAGCGGGCCTTTCCCACAGCAAATGTTCCTCCTCATCTTGTTTTATCTGTCTCTCACTGTCTCTTCCTCTAATCTTTCACAAGCCTGTCACCTGACCTATTTAGAGCTCTTGAGAAAATGATGTAATTTTCTTGCCATTTCATTGGCCACTTGGAGATAATTCCTCTGCAATAGCCCATAGTGCTCAATATACTATAGTTAAGGTTTCAACAGACTGATTCAGCTTCGGTTGAACTTTGCACAAGGGATCCACGACCCACTGACAGAGCAAAGTCCACTAAATTTTCTAGAAAAAAAGCTTTATGGCCAGCACAATGGTCAATTATAAATAAAAAGATTTTTTAAGTATTAAGAAGTGTTTAATTGGCAGGACCTGTGTATGGCAGAAGAGGCAAAGATATGAGCACGGGCAGAGATTTCTTTATGAGGATGAAGTGTACGGTCACCAACAGAGGTCGCACTGTGAACCTTAAATCAGCCAGCTGGAAGGTAAGAATGCATAAGCATATCATAACGCTTCATGCATGTGCAATTAGGTAAAACCGCTCTGTGTCTTTCAGGTGCTGCATTGCACGGGGCATCTGCAAGTGTGCAGCAGCCGACCCCCTCAAGTCCTGTGTGGGTTTTCGGAGCCACCCCTCACGTGTGTCACTTTGCTGTGCGCGCCGATCCCACACCCCTCTAATGTCGACACACCTCTTGACAGCAAGACGTTTATGAGCAGACACAGTATGGACATGAAGTTTATCTACTGCGATGAGAGGCAAGGGACTGTTCTCTAATTAGAGTGTGAATGCACATGTGTATGTGTGTGCATATCTTTTGTGTAGAATATATCAAAAGGACAGTGATATTTTATTTTATTAGCCACAGACATTTCATTTACAGCCATTCATCATGATTTGCAGGTGGTTTTAGAGGGAGGGACATACTCAATCTAGAGAGCATTTGATTGAGCAAATATCAATGTAGTTCAGGATGAGTCATACTGTATTTGTTGTCTGAAATATTATATGTGTGTCTGCTTAAACTTACGCTACTATTCAAAAGTTTGGGGTCAGTTTTATTCAGCAAGGATGTATTTGAATTTTTAATCAAATAAATGCAGCCTTGGTAAGCATAAAATACTTCTTTCAAAAACATAATCTTACTGACCTCAAACCTTTGAAAGGTAGTGCAATTTTGTGAACATTTAGGAGAACAGTAGCATATGGATCGCCACACATGGACTACTCATTTAGATTTAATTTAAGATCACTGTATATTTGGTAAATAGTGCTGTTTTTCGTTTTGTGCTTGCATGTAAGCAGCATTAGTGACCTAATATGTGTGTTTCAAAGGTCACTATTGGGAACTCTTATCCTAATCATGTTGTGCTACTTACCTGCATTGTTATCTGTGTGTGGTAAGGGAGAGTGATTATGAGCTTTTCTTGTTTTCTTGCTACATTTCTTGGAAGCTCCTAAGGTGCACAATTGACTTCTCTTACAAATCTTGCATAACAAACCAGTGGAGTTCATTTGTCCCCTGGCAATATGGGGCAGGTGCTGCTCTAAGTGCCTGGTCACCCATCTGTACACTGCAGTGGTTGTGTAGTGAAGAAGGTTAACAGCTGAGGTCAGATATTTGCATGCTTCCATTTAATGGGGCTTATTATTGACCGCACGGAGTTCATTAAAAGCCCATACTGGAACAGGAAATGAAAGGAAGCTAGTCCAGGGGAAAAAAAACTGGAGGTTCAAATAGAAGAAAAATAACAATTGCATGAGTTTGTATGGAGTACTCAACATCCCAAAAAATGATGTGATATTGACCATTGCAACAAATTGTGATTAATAGACAAGCCCACGTCTGCTTTCAATCTAGCATTTGCTTCAAACACAGAAGAGGATGTGGCCTTTGTCTTTTGGAGGCAGTGTGTTGATACATGTGTGCTGTTCTGTTCTGTCTTTTAATCCAGCAAACAGACATCAAAGATAATGATCAGACAGAACAAGTACGGCTCTTTTTCACAAGAGATTTATAGCTCCAATAAACAAGGGTCCTGCTTGCAATCATTTGTTCTCACTAAGCTAAGCAGAGAGTTTACATTGGCTCCCAGCAGCACAAGTTTGATTGCTTTGAGATGTAATCAACAGTCATGAATCTTGGTCAATGATGGCTTCAGTGCTTTTAATTCAATCACACTTTGTTTTGACTGTTCCATTAGTTTTATTCTTGACTTCTCTTTGTGTTTCAGAATCAGCAGCTTGATTGGATACCGACCAGAGGAACTTCTTGGCCGTTCGATGTATGAGTTTTGCCATGCTTTGGATTCTGAAAGCATAACAAAGAGCCACCAAAATCGTGAGTACCTGCCTACATCCATCAGAAACAGAGCCAGGAAACACAAACACATTAAAAGTCTGATTCGTGTGGTCCTTGTTTTGTTTAGACAGGAAACAGCTATACAGATTTGAATTGGAGATGCCATTCTGAACAAAGGCATAAAGCAAACAAAGTTGTTTGATCCGTTCTCTTTACCTCCATTTTCTGCAGTGGATCAAACACAACAGAAACAACGCAGTAGCTTATTGTGTGAATACCGTTTTGGCTAATTTACCTATCTTTTAAGCAATCTTGACTACGTCCTGAAATGACTCATGGTCTGGAACAGAACCATACCTCTCATCTCTGTCCATGGGTAAACTACGTGAGTTCAAAACCTTGAAGACCTGTGGTGTTCCCATGGGCTTGATGACTGAGGGAAACAGATGTCCCGCCGGGCTCCAGGAATTGTTGAGGGATATTTATAAACTGAATGGTTGTTGCATTGCATTATTTATTTGCTTAGCAGATGCCGTGAACTACGTTTAATGTTTTCGGCCACTTTGCTTTTAAAATTGGCCTCCTAAGATCTTAAATCTACCATATAGTTCTGCCCTTAAAGACTGTTTGAAAAAAAATCTACTTTTTTTAGTGCATTGTTATATATGAAAGCCCATTTTTGTTCACAAGAAGAAAAAAACATGCTTTGGTAAATCATAATTTTGAGATAAAGATCATATTTATGGTTTTTATTTATATTTTACGGCATTTTATCTTATAATTATGCATTTTTAATCTCGTAACTATGATTTACCAAAGCATCATTTATTTTCTTATGTGATAAAAAATGGGCTTTCATAGTTGTGTGAATCCATAGCTAAGTTTTATTGATAACTTATTGATTTATTTACATTATTTATATTTGTAATGTATTATCTCAGGCATAAGCAGTGCATATAGCTTTTAAAATACAGGCGCAATGAGACTATTTCCATCACATACAATAGCTTTCAGGTTCTTCCGACGACCTAGAGTAGACCACAAAAAAAGGAACCCACTGTTTACAAATCCTACTGTCAAATCTGGTTTTGAATTTTTTTTTTTTTTTTATATATATATTTGGAGGACCCTGATTTGATTGTTGTGTCCACATTAAGGCTGAGTAGATGGCCTGAATCCCATTATATGTCCTTTGACATCATCCATAACAACCAAAAAGCTCTCAGATTTTCTCCTTTAGGATGGCCCACCTGATTAGCTAGTGCATTAGCGGCTAACAAGCCTTTGAAGCGTACAGCACCTCTGCTCTGGTTCCTCTGATGTCTTTAATCCAGATCAGTGCTCTGGTATACTTCATGGGCCTCTTCCATTGATAAAGTATTACCTAATTGTAAGATCTTTTGATTTAAAAAAATGACTACACTTTTCAAAGACACATATTCAAGGACAGTATTAGTTGTATTAAGTATTACATGGTGTTACATTTTAAAACTATTCAGTAACACTTACAATAAGATCTCCTCTGTTAGCATTAACTAACATTGAGCAGTGAGCAATATATTCTTACAGTATTTAGTAACCTTTGTTAATGTTAGTTAATTAAAATGTTCATGTTAGTTCACTGTACATTAGCTAATGTTAACATAGGTCTAACTTTTGATCTTTAAGATGTATTAGTAAATGATGAGATTAACATGAACTGATATTAATAAATACTGGAACAAGTATTGTTTCAAGATGCGAAGTCTATCCTAAACAATGTCTAACGAGGAAAGTTAATCTCTGCATTATCAAATAATTCATTTGCCATTTATGTTAAAAAACACACTTTGAAAACACAGATTTGTATTATGGTTAGAAGATATTCTTTAATAATCCATCTACAGTATTACTCCAGATCAGAATATGACCATTGAAATGAATGCAGTCAGACTCATGCTGTTTAATTGCAGTGCTTATTCTGAGTATTGTCAATAGTCATATTAGTTGAATGCATGTACGTTAATGTCCTTGCTATTGGACCTAAATGGAGATGTTGAACTTTTCATGACCTTTAATATCTTCATTTTATGGAGGATTATGAGTGTGCGTTTTTTTATTTAAATTAACTAGTCATGTTTCAGACACATACTGGATTCAACTATTTAACAATATTTGCCATTTCCATGTATCTATTAATTATTAGTTACATCTAACATTTTAGATGTACAGTTTCATTCCCTCTTTTTCTGTTTTCGTCACCAGTTTGTAATAAGGGCCAAGTGGTGAGTGGCCTGTACAGAATGCTAGCGAAGCATGGGGGCTACGTTTGGGTGGAGACCCAAGCAACCGTCATCTACAACAACCGCAACTCCCAACCACAGTGCATCATCTGCATCAATTACGTCCTGAGGTACAGTATTAAATGATGATACTAAATGATGATACTGATACTTATGGTACTGTTCTCACGCTGTTGTTGTATTTCAGTTCTGTTGAGGAGCAGTCCCTCATCTTCTCCCTGGATCAGACGGAGGCTCTTTTCAAGCCTTACCACATGCGAAGCATGGAAGAACTGTTCAGCCAGGGTGGAGCTTCCTCCGTTTCAGAAGCTCAGGACATTCTTTTCACTAAGCTCAAGGAGGAGCCTGAGGAGTTAGCTAAGTTAGCGCCCATGCCAGGAGACGCCATCATCGCCCTGGACTTTGGTCAGAGCGCCACCCGGCACTACTTTAACCATTCCCCCTACAATACCTTCACCCTCTTCACATCCTCAACCCCCGATTACAAAACTACTCCCATCCTGCATGCATGAACTCTTACTCCTTCCCTTGGCTCTCCTTACTCTACCTCACAATCACAACCACACACATACACTGCCCAGGTCATAAGTTGCGGCAGACGTTGTTGTACTGTAGCTCAGTAGCACTGTAGCTTGGCTTTGCTGTTGGGTACGCAATATGTGATAAAAAAAAAAAAAAAGAAAGCTGAATCTTGAAAGAAAGCTCCACAGCACATCTTATGGCTTAGCGTTGGCTTTAGCGTAAACATTGTAAAAATCATTAAAAATACAGTTTTTGTTTGTTTGTTTTTTATAATAAAAGTAAATGATATTTAAAAATCGTTCAACGCCTGTGTTTTTGAAGGTTTACCAATGACAACTGGCAGTGTTTGTGTGTTTATTACCTTCACCACAGGGCTAATGGGTATACTAATTTCACTTTTCATCACAATGCATGTCTAGCAAAACCACTGCATGTAATGGAAATCACCATCTAGTGACGCTTTCAACAGTTTTAATTGTTTTTGGTGATGGCTGAGGTTGTTTTTAACATCCTAATTTATGATGTTACCATTTATTCTCATGGAACTCACACTCTGAAAATGAGCCAGATCATAGTCGGCACTAAACGTTTGCACATTGTGTTGTTCAAGGTCTGTCTATCCACTGTTAGTTGATCTTCCATTGCTCTGTATGTAGTTGTTCTTTGATAATGCAACTCATTTCAGTTATTTTTATCCCACATGTTGAACAGTGACGTGAGAGGTATTGTTTGACTTTTTACTGTGTCATGTCCAATGCATTTGCAGAAAGGCCAGAGTTTGAAGAACCTACTTTCTTCTCCAAGTCCACCAAGCTTCCTGTGATGGGACAGTCATGGGTTGTGGACACTCCACCTGATGGCAGTCCTGATAGAAACTTGTCAAGCATTCTCTCCACCTTCACCGTACCCCAGGTGCCTCCTGCGGGCAATTGCACGCCCTGTACCACACCCTGCTTGAGTGGCTGCAGCAGTATCTCTACAGTACGTCCCAATATACCTACTGGTATATTGCTTTACATGTCAAAAACAATCCTTTAGTTTTCATGGTCAATTATGTTGCGTTACCTTTAAGATTTCTATATTCAAACAATTTAAAATGTTAAACAGTGTGTTTTCATAGTACGTTGAAATCTCAAAAGATCAAGGAAAATTGGTTTCCTCCTAACATGACCTTTCTAAATATAATTGTTTTACATGTTGGTGTTTAAGTGGTTTATTATGTTTGTCTGCAGCCTAGCAGTCCAGTAGATTACTGTGATTGCAGTGGAGAGAGTGATGTGAAAGTGGAACTGACAGAGAAGCTATTTGCTCCTGAATCTGTAGCAACAAATCCCACAGACTCCCAGGTGAGTGGCATTTCATCCATAATAGCTCAGATGATTTTCAAATTCTACCCCAGTGTTCTTTTTTTTACACAGTTTCAGTCATAGTCTTTGTCTTTTGATGAAAATTGCTAAAGTTCTGAAATTTCTTACCGTTACTGACACCAGTGGCCATTAGAGAAACTGCACCCATTCTCGTGCTCGTTCTCGGTGCGCACACTTGTTGGCCGCACTAGATACGGCTTTTTTTAACTTCCGAGGAGTTTCTGTGAGTATCTGGATTGTGCTGGAGGCTGGTCACCTTTTTCCATCAGCAGAGTCCATTTGAAACACTACTGTTAGCGATTGCCGCTGCTTACTAATGGCTGCCGTATGGATGTAAGCCCAAGTAGACGAGAAGAGTAGACTCTTTCTTAAAGATATTTTTAAGTAAAAACCTACTCATAGCACCTTTAAATTTAGTCAATATTTTGCCACGTACATTCATTTAGACAATTTTACTCTTTTTTTTATTTTGATTTTTTTTTATTAGATTTTAAATTTGACAATAAACATGCCAAAAAAGAAACACAACAAACAACAACCTATCTACCAATCCCTCCCACCCACCCCACGGTCTCTTTATACAATTTTACTCTTTTTGATTACAATTAAATATAACTTTAATAAACAAAAACTGCGAGTTGCACATTAAGACTAGCTTTACCTGTTCATTCACTTCAATGTGCAGAAGACACACAGTAATATTACATTTACTTTGTGGAGATGGCTGATTAATCACATATACACATACACTACTATATATTTCATTTAAAAAGAAATTAATACTTCTATTCAGCAAGGACAGATTAAATGGGTCAAAAGTGACAGTAAAGAATTTTACGATGTTATATAAAAAAACATTGAACTTTTGAACTTTCTATTCATCAAAGAATCCTGAAAAAAAAATGTGTCACTGATTCCAAAAACCTATTGAGCAGCACTACTGTTTTCAACATTGATAATAAGAAGAAATATTTCTTGAGCATATTAGAATGATTTCTGAAGGACCATGTGACACAGAAGACTGGGGTAATGGCTGCTAAAAATGCATTTGCCATTATACTGGAATAAATTCCATTTTAAAATATATTCAAATAGTAAACAGTTATATAACATTGCAATAATATTATTAATGACAATATTATTATATAATGATATAAGCTCTTTCACCCCAATTCCTGGCATACTTAACACTGATTTGAACCACTTTGTTGCATTGCAAGTATTTTTTTTTTCTCATCAAGACAGTGTTTTAAATAATTTTTTGGTTGACATGATATCTAACTGTTTGCAGTTGGACCTAAGTGATCTGGACTTGGAGACTCTTGCTCCATATATCCCAATGGACGATGAGGACTTCCAGCTGCACCCAGTTTGTCTGGAGGAGCCGGCGCCGGACTCAAGTCCAGGCGTGAGCAAAGCCCTCCAGCACAGCTTCAGCAGTTTAGCTGACCTCTTCAGGCCCCTGAGTCCATTCCCTCCCGACAACAAGAGCAGTTCTCAAACGTGTCCAGACACGGCTCACGTGCAGCCTTTCCAAACCTCACTAAACGTCCCACTCTCGTCTGAGGAGGGTAGACAGAGTCTTCAGTGGCCCCCTGACCCACCATCACAATATCAACTCACAGATATTAGATGCATGGATGACGGAAACACAACAGATCCAGGACAAACATGCAGTTTCACTGCTGTGCTGCCACAGCAAAGGTGACCAGAGTTCATCATTCACCAACACATGCATTTTATTTAGCAATACATGAACTAGGCATCAATGATTAACTAGATTAGGAATTAGTGCAAGTCAAGCAGACAGCTGAATGGGGTTTTAAAACTTTTTGATGAAAGTGCAGCCAAAAAGGCAGCTACACTATATATTTTTATGGATAAAGACCCATTTATACTCTGTGAGAAAATTGTTTGCAATTTAAAAAAAATTCATAGCACTTAAAGATCAAGAATTTAAAATATTATCTGGAAAATGTCCTTGTTTTAAATTGCATTGTTAGATATACAACAGATACAAAAGAGACTTTTGAGTTCAATTAAAATGACTTTTTTAAAGAATACGTGGAGTTCTGGACACTAGTTTGAAAAACCCTGCTTTAGAACAAACATCTAATCTGTAATGTTCAAACATTTTTAAAGTCTCTTTTGCGCACCATGGCTACATTTATTTGATTAAAAAAACACGTAAAAACAGCTATTGTGATATATTTTTACAATTTAAATGACTGTTTTCAATTTGAATATATTTTTAAATTTTGTTTATTACTGATGAGTGATGAGAAAGCTGAATTTTCATTATTTGACAAAGCTGTCTCACATTAGTAATATGAGTACACTGTCTTTGTAAATCTAAAGTCTTTGATTTAATGCAACTATTAACTATTAAAACTAACATTTTCTTTAAAAAAAAAACTTGAATGACCCCAAACAGAGGACAGTAGTGCACTAAATGTCATAATGACGAATTATTTTTTTTTATTGCTATTTTAGGTTCTTTGAGAGCTTTGCCCCAGTACAGAAAGACATGAGTATGGGACAGATCACTCTCCACAACAACTTCAAGCGGAAGCGGCCGTCAGAGTTCGGTTTGTCATGCTCTTTCTCCGATATTCCAAAGGTAAGCTCTCAGATCTCAATATACACTAATGTAAATGAGTGAAGTTTATATAGTGATCCCAAAGACAGAATATCAACTTAACATGCGTGTTCAGCAGGTGGTACCGCCTCACAACTCTACAGATGGAATGCGAAAAAGGATGAAGACGATGAACGTCGACAGCTGTGCCTTCTCTGTCAGAAAGTCTCTCAGCACGAGTGTTCTCACAGGTACATCAACACACACTCACTCACTCTCTCTCTCTCTTCTAAATTTTCTATACCCAAATTTACAGACTGCGTTGTTCTTTCTTCATAGACAAATTTCCATGCATGCAAAGTGGATTTGTTGCTTTTCACGGCTGCAGTCAATCTGTCAAAGGGACCTCAGAGGATCTCAAACAGCATTTCACAGAGTCATTCTGCTCTCCCAGTAACAGACAATACCACATGATGCCTTCACACAAACACTCAGGTCAGTCACCAGCCCTTACAGCACAAACCACTTCAATAGTGTTGAATATTTCCAACATGATTCATATCTTGGCAGCATCGAAGGGATCATTTAAATAAAATATTAGTTAAATCATTTTATTATTCACGCACCCTCATCATCCCGAAATCGTATGACTTTTTTTTCTCCTGTAAAACACGAGAACAAGAGACTTAATAAATCCTTTGTATCATTACTGTCACTTTTGATCGGTTGAATAGGTCGCTGTTGAAAATCCTTATGTATATATTCCAAATTTCGGAAGTCATTTAATAGATTTGTGCAGACCAGACCCGAATTGGACCAATTGTGTCTTTATCTATACGACATTTGAGTGACAGGTCTCTCTTATTTTTGACAGGCATGATAAGTCAACTGTTGGGCCCATCCTTTGACTCGTACTGTCTGCCAGAGCTGACACGATATGACTGTGAGGTAAACGTGCCTCTACAGGGAAACTTGCATTTGCTTCAGGGCAGTGACCTTCTGAGAGCCTTGGACCAGATCAAGTAAACCCAGACCTTCTTCAGCGACCCATTCACCCAATGCTTTTTCATCCCATCTTTGTCTGTATATGCTGTTGTCTTGTATGCATGTATAATCAGCCTTTATTTAGACCTATTTGTACATTTTCCTTTAACATCTATGTGATATTTTAATATATATTTGACAAATCTGATTGTTACTTGTTTAGAATGTGTTCCACGTTCTGTGCTATATCTCAGACTCTAATATTGTCTTGTGCCTTCAGATGCTTAGTGTTCTTAACATTTATGGTCAGATTTACCAGATTCACTGTTGCAGACTTTGTTATCTTTATGAATTTCAACTAACTAGAGCATATACAAAATATAATATTATATATAGTATAAATGGTAGTTTAATTTGTAACTTATTCATTCAGCTTGGCATACAAATGCTGTTTATATAAGTTTTGCAAAAACGATTGCCTTAAATATTTGTTTCGAATTTGTACCAGCAGCAAATGTCTCTCGGAAATGTGTCTGTTTAGAACATTATTAGTGGAATCTTATGCCTCAACTATCCCCTATGCTACCCTCAACACATATCATAATGAGTAAAATGCTGTATTAAATGTATAGTTTCTTTCATTTAAAGCACTTTATTTTAAAAGATGCAATTGGAAGACCAAAATGAAAAAGCCCCAGTATAGTGGATGTCTTGGCCATCTTCTCAGGCCCACCGAACACTAACCCTTCTCTATAATATCTTTTTTCAACTGAATTGTAAATTCAAAATATTATTTTCTTATACAAACATATTGTGTCTACATTAGATGAGGTTAGAGTTTTAAGCTCTGGATCTCTGTAACACATGAAATAATGTTTGTATTTGGTGTTCAGAAGTGCCTTGGTACTTGGTCTTGTCTACCTAGCAGTAGACGGAGATGAATCTGTAGCTTTCTCATTTACAGTACATATCTAATATATACGTTTATTCGATTTTGTATTGTGTATCACCTTGTTGTGATACATTGGGGTTTCTGTGTGTTTCTTAACAAAATATATAAAGCAAATTTTATCGTATAGTTTTCGAGAGAGTCTGTGATTATTTGTTCTCAGGATAGTCATTTAAAGTAACAAGCATTTGTTTTCCAGTCTTTCTTTGTAGCATTAAAAGATATGAAAGATTGCATTACGCCTAAAGCAAATTAAAACATAAATGGTGCTACTTGCAAATCAGTGGTGGGGGATGTTTTCTTGGCACACTTTAGGCCCCTTAGGCCCCGTCCACACTACTGCGTTTTCGTTTAAAAACGGAGACCTTTTGCTACGTTTGCACCTCCCGTCCACACTAAAACAGGAAAAACGAAGACCTAAAACGGAGAAGTTTAGAAACGCTGCAGCTGCGTTTTGCGTTTTGAATCTCCGGAGGGCGTTTTAGTGTGGACGAGACAAAACGGAGAACTTCAGAAACGCTGACGCAGAAGCTGACGCTTGGCTCTATGATTGGATGTTATCAGTCATGACGTATCCTTCCCTGATTCGTCATTCACTGTTTACACCGGCACGCGCATGCCCAGTGTCGGTGAATGGTCACGTGATCCGCGTTTTCAGTCGTTTTAATGTGGACGGAGATCGTTTCTAATACGCAGATAAAACGCTGGTGTGGACGGAGATCGTATTCGTTTTAATTCTCCGTTTTTAAACGAAAACGCAGTAGTGTGGACGGGGCCTTAGTGCCAACTGGGCATTGTTTAAATGCCACGGCCTACCTAAGCATTGTTTCTGATCATATCCATACCTTCATGGCCACCATGTACCCATCCTCTGATGACTACTTCCAGCAGGATATGCACTGTCACAAAGCTTGAATCATTTCAAAATGGTTTCTTGAACATGACAATGAGTTCACTGTACTAAAATGGCCCCCACAGTCACCAGATCTCAACCCAATAGAGCATCTTTGGGATGTGGTGGAACAAGAGCTTTGTGCCCTGGATGTGCATCCCATAAATCTCCATCAACTGCAAGATGCTATCCTAATATGGGCCAACATTTTTAAAGAATGCTTTCAGCACCTTGTTGAATCAATGCCACGTAGAATTAAGGCAGTTCTGGAGGTGAAATGGGGTCAAACACAGTATTAGTATGGTGTTCCTAATAATCCTTTAGATGATTGTACACATATCTATAAAAAATATTCGAACTCTGAAATTGCTAGAAAATCAAATCCATAAACCAAGTTGTGTTCCAAATTTAAAATTGGTATCACAAAAATTCAGTCCGCTAAAGCTTTTAAATTACTTTTTAGGCAATGTTAATTTTAAAACTTGAAATTTGAGTGTTTAAGCTTTCAAATGATTCCTAATTTATGGTGATTACTAAAATATGTTTATCACTTTGCTTTATTGTTTCAATAATCTTCTTGTTTGCAAAGCTCTATGGTTATTATTGTATGACTTTTATTTATATAAATTTTGAGAGATACAGTATCTGCTCAATCTTCCCACTGCTGCAGTTCGTATAGACTTCCACTGACTGACCACACTCGTTCACACAAATGAACAACTGCATTCTGGATTATGACCCTGGGCTGCGTGAAACTTAAAAATATTGTGAGCGAAGTTGATCGTATATTGGCCAATGATTATGATGGTTCTACGATCTAGAGCTTATGATGCTTTGGAAAAATGATACCTGGTCAGTGAGACTCATATAAATACAGTATGAGTAACTAAATCAGTGATTTTAAAGTATATTGGGGGGAAATGGTAAAACAATGATGTTTATCAGCACATTTATTCAGCATAATATTATACAGCAATATTTACTATACATGTAACAGCAAATTTACATTATCATTGCACCTTATGCATATGATTAGTCACCCTTGTTGGAATTTAAGAATGTTCAAGCATGCCAAAAGAAATGGCAGGGGATACAGAAAATTAACTTGTTTTTTAATGACATAACAATTATGCTACAGGAACATTCCGATCCAGGCCTCTGTATCCCACAAGACCATGATACTGTTGGCCGCAAACAAATGTAGGGCCAAAATACACAAATGACCAAATAAGGGATAAATATTTAAACACTGAACAGGCACACACTTCCTATCAACTGCTTCTGGGAGTCAAGGAAACCTGAGAAAATTGATAAAACAAAAATATACAGGCTGCATAAAATTGATAGGTGTTCATGTGTGTGGATCAAGGACGCACTCTTAAAAATAGTGGTTGTTTATTGGCTCCATGGTTCCATGAAGTACCTTTAACATCCATGGAATCTTCCCATTTCACAAAATGTTCTTTATAGCGGAAAAAGTATCTTCAGATTATGTTCAGATTATGAAAATATTTTTCACACAATAAAATGGTTATTTTTAGAACTTTTCTTTTAAAGGTTCTTCGAGGAAACCCAAATTTAAGAGCGCGGGTGGGAATTCAGTGCTCATTAAGGAAGAGATGAGAGTAAGACGTGAAAGATCCTTTCATTAGATGCTGACTACCTCAGAAAGCTAACAGCATCTTGATGTTGAAACTTAAGGCTGCAGCTTGGATGTCACAAAATTCAGAATAAACAGACATGGATAGATGTGTGGAACGGGATGCATGGGGATTTCTCAGAGTTTGAGTATAGGTGTACCCACATGAGCTAAAGGTTACTCTCTTTAGAAATCAAAGAATTGTGTTCACGTAGCTGAGAAACAAACAAAAAAGAAGAATTGAAATATCATTCAATTTCGTGACTGTTGAGATGTTGTTTTTCAAGGATGGCTGTGTGCGTCCATGCTACAACCACAATAAAAGGTATTGTGTTCATGTCTATCTGAGAAACAAAAAATGTAAAAGAATGGAAATATTATCATAATTTTTAAGCCAAGATACAATCTGATTGCAAGAACATTGGCACACTTTCAGAGAGGAAGTTTCCACAATGTGATGAGGTTAAAAGTGAGTGATTTTGTTTAATATTGTCCATATGAAGTCAGCAATATGTATCCAGTAATTGTTCCATTGTGACAATAGATGTTTCATAACCTTAATCACGTCACTGATGCAATCTGTTACTATTGGGGTCAAACTTAAATATTATGTAACTAGTTCTGTTTGGTTCCTAGAAATCTTATAGCCATTAATCAAAGTAATCTGGGTAAACCAGGCACATCCTTTATATTTATACGTCTTTTTTAAAAACACCAAAACTTTGCCTGCAATTAAATATTAAATTAGCTTTTTTTTTTATCATTTCACCCAAATATTTAACCATGCATCTTACCTTATTCTGGATTTATTTGGTTATTTATTTGCTGTAAATAAATAGTAACACACTATTTTTATTTTGTGCATTTTTATCTATATTTTGTAGAGTACAGACATGCAACAGTAAAGGTTTCAAATGAATTATTAAACAATGCATCATCAAGTATAGTTATTTTTTAACTTAATTTTCATGTGTTGATTTTTTAAAGCACCTCTTAAAACTTGTATCTGAGAGCATTTAACATAAAATGAGACTGATAGACTGTTTTTCAAACTTGTTTATTTTTGCAATGCAAATAAATTGCGTTTTCTCATGGAAGATGTGGATGGAAGCCAAGTAGCCTTATTCCCAATGGGATTACAGGCCTCTTTAAGAGCCTCCCATAATGTGCAGGGTCTTAGTGGCAGACCATTATTTTCCATGGAGAAGGGAACACAAATAAGGAAGAGTATCATTAGGATGCCACAACCAAGAAGAATTAGGCCTAAAAATTAAATATACATCTAACAGTTACATTCAAATTAGACTTAGAAATAAGGATAAGAACAGCCACTTTGGATTTAATGGCATCCTAAATTATTTTCATGTCTCTCAAGTTAAAGATGCAGTCCGTAATTTTTTTTTTTTTTTTTTTGGAAAAATTCCCCAAAATAAATGTTTGAGCAAGTACAAAGCCAGCCAGTGTTCAAAACTATCAGCGTGCCTTCCCAGCTGGCATTTTAACGTTGAGTCACGCAAGTGCCAGTGTTGGATAACCGTTGAATTTTGAGGTTGTAGCCTAAAAATAATGTTGATTTGACGTACAACTCAAAATTAGTTGATATTTCAATGTTGAATCCACAGTGAGTTAACAACGCCACTTCAAGTACAGTATATGGTGTTCAACGTTGTTTTGACGTTGAATTCATGTTTTTTTTTCATAAACTGACATTATTTCAACTACATTTAAACGTTTAATGTCAGTCCAATGCCAGCGGGGTTTGTTCAAACGACAATTACCAGTGAATACTGGAGATTCAGCCGTTATCAAAAGACTTCGGAGTGACTACAGAAAAAAGAGACTGCAACCGGGCCCATGCAAAAAAATAGGATCAATATTGGAAGGGCTTTTGAAAGGTGGAAATTTTGAAAATTTTTGTTTGCCATAGGCCTACTTCCAAAAAGTAGAATCTGTGATTCCAAATGCCAGTATCCACATTGAATGATTCTCCTCAAGACATTGGAATCACCCGCGCTGTGCCGTGCCGAGGCACAATCCATGTAAAGTTGATAATTTTGCAAATAATTGCAATTGCAGAGTTATCTTATAGGCCTATGTTTATTATTATTATTATTGGAAAATAATGAAATAAGCATTGATTGCTTATTAAAATAATTGCATAAGAGTCGATTTGTTGTAAGGACAATTCATTTATAATTTATTATTATTATGATCATCATAGCTTTAAAGATGCTGCAACACAATGAGCTTTTGGACAGTATGATTTCCATAGAGGAATAATCTAAATATGTTTGAGTTATGTTGCCGATGTATTCAAGTGCACCATTTTGTGAGGCTTTTTTTTTTTTTTTTTTTTTTAGTTTGGTGGATGGGGGGGGACATTAACGTTAGTCTGCCGTTGGGCATAGTTCTCATGGTGCAACAGGGTGCAGCAGCTTGACCTGACGCCTGACGACGGGGATATCATGCAGCTCCTTCCTGAGACTAAGTAAGATTTCAGCTGTGATTTGTAAAAGAGGAACGAGACAATGTTGAACTGTTCAGCTACATTGCATTCGACTTTCTCTGTTGCTAACATAGTGACTGATTCGAGACCAG